CACTTGCGAGTGTCTTACAAGGCGTCGCGTGCGAGATAATCCTGAACGACCGAAGAAAGTTTCGCGCAATTTCCAGCCGAGCGTCTACAGCGCGAGCAACGTCGTCCGAGTTTCCGCGAGAAAGCTCGTCGAGCCTCGGGAGAGAACTCAAAGAGATCGGGCAACGGAAGATGCGATTGCGCTCCGACGGAAGAAGAGAGCCCGGGACAGAGAAAGAGGAGGAGATTGCGCGAGGAAGGCTCCGGGACGGGACTGGAAATAGAAACGACTCGGCTCGTTCCGGGGTATTTCACTGGAGGACGCGGAGGAACGCGAGGGAAAGAGGACATCGGCTGTGAAAACTCGCGTTCGAACCGCGGCGATCGTCGCGAAACGGCCAGTTACGCGGAGTGCCTGAGCAAACAGAGACAAGCATCGTATTCTTATGTACATCCGCGACGTGGTTGGCTTGTCTTAACGACCCTTCGTGTATTTGATCGCGCTACTGCGTACCACTGGTGAAGTCGAATCGATGTTCGTCGTGTCGCGTTAAATCCGCCCGTCCAGTGCCAACGGAGAGATTACGACGCGTGTAACTACAATTACGGAATAATTCCGAAAAGGCTCGCAGCTCGACGTCGAGAATTTATACAAGCTCTTCGAGCGACGTGGATTTATTCGCGGTGCAGTTTCAACGTCAGCCTCTCTCTTTCTCTCCGTTCTTTCTTTCCGTTTCATTCATACAAATATTTTTTTTGCCGACCTAAAGTCGCTCCCGTGTTTCATTGAGTACAGATGGATATGCCGCACGCTATTTACGACGAGCGTTTTAAACGATCCGCGGGGCCGCCTCGTTGCTCGATTAGAGTGACGACTGTTTGTTCAGCTTAGAGCGAGCGTGGACTATGATTATTCTATTCAACGATATTCACCCCAACCGGATCCAGCGAGCTGGTTTTTACGAGCAGCGAGGAAGAAGAATGGCCCGTTTCGATCGAAGGACTTGTCCAGGACTCGAATGGCGAGAGGTCTTTACGAGAGAGAAAGCTCCGCAATGTGACGGAGATTCTTAACGAAAGGAGAACCGCGAAATGTTTAACCCTTGACCCGCGAACGTGTATACAGTAAAAAATCTTTCGTTCGTATGTGTTTGTGTCAAATAATTCGCACTTTCAGTGTGTTAAAAAATAGCACACGACAAATATGTTATTTTAACACAAAATTTAGAACGGGCTTCTCGAGACATACTAAAATTAACATTTTCTTTTTTACTGTGTAGATGCCAAATTATTATTTTTTATTTTGTCGGCTAGATTGCACGTGAGGAAAACAAATTTTTCTCGGAAAAGTGCGAAGAAAGGCTCGACAATCTCGCGATTCACGAAGCGTGCTTTCGCTTTTGAGCGAATCGACGCTTAATAAATTTAACCGGGTTTATAGACTTGACTTTGTAAAGAAAGAATGGTAGTTGCATAACCGCTTTGTAATACGATAAAGGTCGCTTCTGTCTGTCTGAAGTTCTGACTCTCTTTCATGACCGTTCTGTGCATCACTTTTTCTCTGCGCGTACATTTTATTAAGGACGGAGACTACAGAGCGGGCATTCACACGCGGCGTTACCGCTTCGCGCTCGTTTCTGCGACATATTCTCCTTCTTGCGATTAAATTGTGCACGGAGATTCAATCTACCACGTCGATTCGTGCACGCGATTTCTCTAATTTATTCGACAGATTACTTCGCTATAGCACACGCGATTCTATTTTCAATGCAGATCAAAAGTTCGGTGTATCAAAAGTCGCCCCGGATCTGGACCGGAACGAGCAACGCGTCGAGTTTATAAATTCCCTTGATTTTTCAGCGCGGCTGAAATAAATTGTATACTCATTCGCGTGAGCCCAAGTTAAGTGGGACTTAGACGCGTAGCGAAGGAAAATAATTTCCACCTACTTTTACGCCACGATAACAATCCCGCGATTCATCCCGTCACTTTCGATCGTTGCTTTCCTTCGCGACTGCGAACTCGACGAACTTATGATAAATTTCAGATAACGAGAAATTAATTAGACAGAAGAGTACTTTTCGAAGATATTGACAATAATGAATCGAGCTCGACCGATTTCGACGGTGACAAATGTTAAATTTAAATAAATTAAATTGCCAATTTTTGATTTATTTATCGCCCATCTTGGATTGTCCGTCATTTTAACATTAGAACGGCTGGGTCATATTTTTATCCACTTGTAGATTCTTTTTCCTCGTTTCTTTGGATTTTCGTCACTGGGAAATTTTCTCTATCATAAAATAATTAAACAGTATCATAAAATTAAAAAAGCCAACGGATAATTATAAAAAAAGAAGTAGATCAAAAGTGACCTATTCGCGGTTCTGGGAGAGAAAAAACTGCCGCGACTCTAGTGTTAAATAGCGACGATACATTTAACGATACGTGTTCGGCGAGAAACGGTCAGTTTCGACGTTCAGCTCACGTAACAAGGAACATCCGGTGATATTTTCCGGTCGGCGAATATCTCGGAGACGATCGACGCCCGGTTTTGTTTAGCCGTACTTTAGCCAATCGATAACGTTTCCGCATTTACTAACTTTTATTCACTTACTAACTACCACTAACTGCTAAAAAGAACTTTCTTGATTTTCCGGGAACATCGCTTTTCCGTGAACGAGATTACAGCGATCGTTGTGCGTGTCTCTCGACAGATAAACATATATATTGCACTCTGTGGTACTTTGGAGCTTAGAGTACTTTAGAAAATTATATTGCCTCCCATCGTTGTAAAGACAAAATGTGAATAACATAAATAGGCTGTACCAGGAAAATTGACATACGACCTCGTTCGCCGAACAACAGCCATGAAAATGCGAAAATTATTCAAGCACCGATAACGATAAGAACTGTTCCACGTTGCATTTTTACTTTTTACTTGATATTTCAATAACGTGTGTATTTATTCAAAGAAAACAGACGTTGGAGAGAGATAAGACAACCGACGGTCGACTTTGTTATTTTCGTAACCGAGAAGCTGCTGTAAAATTGCCGTGGTAAATAAACGCGCGAGTTGCCGCGTCACGTCGCATGAAACTTTTTAACGAATAGCGGCTTGTGCCCGTACCGAGACATTAATTACCACTTATGATGAAGCGGTTGATGAAGCGGCCTGCAAAAGGCGCTGGTGGAAATGTGTTCTCTAATACCAAGATCGGTCCGTTGTCTCGGGAAAATCTAAGCGAGTCGCATCGTGTCCCGCGAGTTTTAAATTATCTCGCGACGTTTAATATCCATGTGATTAAGTCTCATATTAAATTCTTGTCAAAACGACATTCGTGGCACGAACCACGCTAAAACGTCGGATTTCGCGAGCAATTTGACCTATTAAAGTTTAACTCGGCGGAGTGCACAATCCTCGTACACACCCACAATCTTAAATAACTCCGTAATTAGAGCCGCACTTCGGTTTCCGCTAATTGCGAGCAACAATTCGCCGCGATGTTCTTGTAACATGACCCCGTCGTTACTAATTATTCACGGCGCGGGTGCAGCGGGATCGGTTAATTAATCCACAATGAAGCGAATGCTTCTCGAGACGCGCTTCGATTAAAGCCGAATTTGCCCGAGCTTCGAAAAGCAATTTGTCGCCTCCACGCTTATCGGTTTTTGCATTTATCGAAGGTCGAGCCGTTGGAACATTGGTTCGCCGTCGTTGGTGCGCCGAACATTATCGCGAGCGATACACGTGCAGACGCGATCGAGGTATCTCATGTGCGGCCCAGAAACACGAACGCTCGTTAAATCACGATGACCCGCTTTTTTCGCCTTTTCGTCTCGCTCTTCCGACGAATTCATCATGGATTTCATTCGCGATGGCCGCAGCCCTTTCGTTCCGCGCTGCATCGCGCCCGTGCATTTGCACGGGCAAACGACGGCGATAAGAATTCACCCTGCTGACGGGGGAAACGTACTTAAGAAGTACGCTCTATCGCGTGATTTCGTATTCTCGTTTCCGCGTTTGTTGATGAAAGTCTCACTAGATAACCGTGACTGAGACGTCCCGGCATCATCGTGCGGCGCGAAACCGGCTACCGCTTTTCCTGATTGTGTTACGGTACAATTTCAGCGGATGTTGTTTACGCTAATATCACTGGTTAAACGATTCGACGCTCGACGTTAGACCTCGTCGATTAATTACGAGATCATTACAGGAACAAGCTGTTACCAGCACCTCGATGTTACCTCGGTAGTACGAGGAAATTATTAATTCGAGTGAAATAGCGGCAGAGAGAAGGGAATTCAATTAAATTGTAACTTATCTCGTTTAAACATTGCTGCAGGGAAACGCTCCGTTTTTTTTTTTTTTTTTACCAATATTTGCTCAATCTTTCATTTAGGGAGTTGCGATTAATATTTGTACAAGAATCAAATGCATCCGCGCGCGTATAACACACGCATACACAATATATGCGTGCATGTGTGAATATATTTAACTTAACGTACTGCAATCGTATGTACGAGATAAAATTCTGCATATAAAGTAAACAATTCTCTGGCAATGTGTAGTATATGTAACATCCCAAGAATTTAAATCGGCTTCGTACGGAGATGCAGGTGCGTTGCCTACGAAATGATCGCGCGCGCGTCGAGAGCAAATGCCGAAAATGATATCGATGCCCAAATATGGACAGGCATCTGCCAAATGTCGGGATCGGAACCGGCTCGACGCTCTGCGATCACGTGAGAATGGTCATCTGGTTTATTCGTGACAAAAGAGACGCGTCCCCGACTGGGCGAAAGATACAATAATATCTCTGGATCGTAGTAAACAGCCTGCACGGATGGTGACTACGATTTTCAACCGTACGCACACCTATTCGTAAGGTTGAAAATCGCGGTAAACGCAAGGTTATTACCCCCGCGAGATACGTACGCACATTTCCTCAGATTTACGGTCGAAAAATAACACCGATCTCGACGCCGATGTCTGGCGTGCGATTGATCCATTATTCCTACCTTATTACAAAGTGCCTCCGATTCGACGGCGGCCGATCGTTGTCCCAATCGTAGTCCCGATTGTCGTCCGGATCGTTGTTACCTGCCCGACAACACTCCGCTCGTACGTACATTCGAATCGACGACACGTTCAACGTATCACTATCGAAATGCGCTACCGGCCGACTCTATCGCGGGCGAAACACTGCGAGTGCTGCTTTAAAGGTATCGCGACAGATATCGCCATTTTCCGGACGCATTACTATGCCGGCATGGCCGCCGTGCTGCCATCTTGCGACAGCAATGAGCGGCCGAAGCACGCGAGTCATCGATGCATGCAGCTGACTTCACGTCGCGCGAGCAAGGTGGATGGTGACGTAGCACATTGCCGCAATGTCCGTTTAAATTCCGCGCGTCCTTCGATACCAACGAACGTAAACAAGTGTCCGCCGGGTAATCCACGTCTCAACGTCGTTCGGTGTTTCTGTGCGTTTCTTCGGCCGGACTAGAGCGATGGGTGTCACCGTGTAAGTGTTTCTCGTGCTCATAATAAGTTTGCGACACTTTCTATTGTACGATCGTCGTATTGTGAATGCCTGGTTTGCCGTACTGTATGTGTTTTCGCGTCCTTTGTCGCGCGCGTGGAGAAAGTTAGGTTATGTCGCGCGGTCGGTGGATTGTTCTCGTTGTTAATAAGCTTCAATATGTCGCGAATTGCACTTCGATGCGAAAACATCTGTTTCCTAATTAATCGGTAAAGTTAAACGAATCACTCGTGGTCGGCAGGTTACAGCAGTACCCGATGATTGAAAACCGGACCGGGCCACAGACGATCGAGTTTCTGTCGAAGAGGATCCTCGCCCTCGGAGCCGTGCAGGCGGGACAGTTCCTGGTGGATTGCGAGACGTACATGTCGGTGCCGCAGCTTGGTATGTAAGCTCTCTTCCCGCGAATTAGCGTCTGCGTTTTGCACCGCCTAGTTTTGTATTATGCGGTTGTGCTGAGAGTAGATGGTGCACGACGGCCAACATAGATGGCCGTTGCTTGCTGTTTAACCTTGCGAACGTCGACGGCTATCAAACCGACGTTTTGCTAGAAATTTGCTAAATCAAATCCGCTGATCTCAGTGCCTTCCTTGTTACAATAATAGTTTGGGACGCATTTCTGATTTCTGATATCTTAAGATTGTGAAATATAAAATGGAGAACATAGATAAGTGTTCCATAACGATAATTGATTATGTGATAAAAAATGATAAATAATAAAATTAATTAACGGGTTAATGCAACGCAATTAATATAGCGCAGTTGAATCGTTTAATGTTAAAAGGGCATGACTCGAAAAATCTGCTATTCTCTTTCTTCATTAGAATTTTATTAGAATTTAGAAATTCCATTTGTAAGGACAATTAAGTTCTCAAAATAAAGTCTAATAAAATTTTATAGAAACATTCAGAAACTTGCTAAAATGTCCATGTTTTGATTTTCTCAGAAGGAACTTCTCTTTTATTAGTAAACTAGTGTTACTAAATTTTCAAAGAATTTGATTTTACATAAAGAACTTACCCTTTTAACATTTTTATCGAAGGATATTTATGGAACTGAAGTACGTGGATTAACACAGGTACACACATTACTGTCTCACCATATGTCTCTTCTTTTGGCATTTATATATGTGTATATATAGGCCTCTATACAAACACGCAACTGTTGGTTCCGCCGAAAGTCATTAGCGCGATCATATATCCAATATTATTCGTTACTTCTAGAGAGGTGTAAACGCAGACGCTAACAAAGTTCGCTTAAGTACATATTTATACATAACGTAAATACGTATTGCACCGATCGAAAGTGCATGCTTTCCTTTCTAAAGCAAGTCCACCGTCGTAGAATCGGCGGACGGGGGGAACTGTTTATGCTACTCGCATTATTTTAATTAACGAATAACGGTCGACCTACTGAAATAAAGTCGGTCAACGAAATCGGTGCCTCGCTCGATGTTCTCGCGATATCGAGGAAGAAAGATACAAGCGCCTATTGAAATTTCCTATTCGATGGTAGAATCGAGTTCATATTCTCGAGAAACCGACGTGCAGTCTTATCGCTTCATCCGATATAATTCTCGTATGTTCGCTCTTATAATCCGATATTAAACATTCCGCTGTTATATGAGTTAGTTTCCGTCGCACCATACGTAGATACGACAATGTAGTGTAAATTATTCTATGAAGGTACAAATACAACTATCCCTAAGCGTCATTACAAAAATATTAAATCTAGCAAGCGAAGCTAACGTGGCCCATTAGACACAGACACACACACTCACACACACATACACACAATATGGGTGGTGATATACATGTATATATATTTTTATTGATTTATTCCGTTCTCTCTTCATTGAAAATACGTGTTCGTAATTTTATTATCCGCGACGATACAATATGTGTATAAGATTTAATCATCTTAGCGACGGCCAGCGCTAATTCCATTTGAATAATATTTATTGTCGATAAATTGTATAGTAGATTTATTGTCGATAAGTAGAATGTATGATTCTTCATACTTTTCACAAGTAAAGCTTCACGCTTCATCACGTCCGGATATATAACGCGTGTAATATAGATTCAAAGTCCTAGATATTCATACTCATATTGAGATTATAACGTACTAAGTATGCATTTTAATTCGCTAATGTGGATTAATATCTCTGTCGTAAATTTTGTGTTACAATTTTCGGCGATCCTGAACGTTTGCCATTTCTTGTTGTGTTTTGCTTCGGTAAAGTTAAAGTCAACCTGTCTAAAAGCTTCGTTCATTGTTTACATTGGTATATACAGTTACACGTACGCACATACACACACATACGCACTCATTCACGCGCGTTTTCTCTCGTGTACGTACACATATATGCCCGCATATGCGATACGAATATTTAATTACCGGGACTACTGTGGTTCTAAACGTGCAGTAATGCGAAATTTGATCCTGAATTCCACTATTACCGCTACATATTACGACAAATTTTCAATTCACGAAAGTGCACAGTGCAGATTTTGTTTTACGGTTTAACGTCGTATCTACGGGAAAAAAGAGAAATCGTATTTCGTTCACGTGGAAGATCAGACGTAATGCGATCGCTGTGAGTATTTATTATGCCACTCGGCAAGAATAAAGCTCGCTTATTCGGCGCGATATACTACAGACGAGGTAATCTCGTCACGATCGAGGATCTTTACGATCTATGTAAAACCTGGAAGTTAATCGTTTATCGTGGTGCACGCTCGTGTGTGTCGCACCACGTTAAAACTAATACGGATCTTACCCAATCCCGCGTCCAAGCTCTTGAGCATTGTAAAATACACGTTATGTTTTGAAAACATATATACCACTTAGAAAGTACCTTAATTAGGCGAATTTAAGAATCTCTAATTTTTTCTGATTTAAATTTACAAATTTTACAAACTAAGTTTTCAAGACGCTAGTGATCAACGCGATTTTATATTTCCCTTTTCTTGACACAAAGAGCGCAATACGGTTATTAATTTATTTAATATCTAAAATGAAAATATAACAGCCTGACGCAACAAGACATCTGTCGGAACTCCATCAGTTCTCCGGTATATATATTTTCAAGACATCCCGTGTAACATAGTTAGATATTTTTTGTTTAGGAAGGAGTACCACGTACGCTTGCTTCCTGTAGACAGCAATGTTCAATAACGATCGTTTCAGCATTTTAATCTTCGCGTGATATGTCGTTGATATTCCGAATTTACGATTTCGACGCTGACAGTATCACTTTCCCCGTGTAATTATACGCGCGTAATTATACGTCGTGTGAGATATGTAAAAAATGGAATGTACTAATCGATTGTTTGCGCGAACGTGTCGGTCGGTCGCTCGCTCGCTCGCTGTCTACAGAAAAACGCGCGGGAGTATTTAAGTACAGGGATTGTTAACGTGTTCCCGAGACTTTCATACGCTTCGTTACGATATCCGATATGGCAGGGATATGATTCACGGGTGTGTAGTTGATAATTATTGACACGAGAAATTCCTCTTGCAGCCCTCGTGCAAAAGGATCTACCTCTCGTGTCGTGTTTCCGGTTCGCCAGAACCATCCAAATTTCGCGTTGGATTCGTTCGACTGGTTTTCCCTCTTCTCTTTTTTCGCGTTGTCACGTTGCAGTTTCGCGTTACTGTAAACGTTGTGCCGAGAATACTTTGAGGATATCTTTCTCTGCGAGGACCATGCGCTCCGTCACAGACGCAAGCTGCTTCGTAAAGCATCATCGACTTCCGTAACGAATGTTTGTCGTCGACACGTAGCAAGACTCTCGACGTTGTTCTCTACAAACTATATAAAAATACAAAATACATAACGTCGTTATAGAGATTTCCGACTAATCGCGGCTTCGCCACTTCGAACGAGCGCATACGAATGGCCGTGCCTTCGTAGAGAAACAGAAAACCGTCGAAAGCAGTCGGATGAGATTTAGAGGGATATAAATATCGGTTACAGATGCGTGTGTGTGTCAGGGGATTCGCGCTTGTTTTCTCTCTCTCTCTCTCTCTCTCTCGCGTCTACGGATATTCAACGTTACTGCTTTCAACGTCATCATAGATATACGTAATTCCTTATAATAGGCTAATAGTACCGAATTTCGCTCTATTTCGCGAACTTGGCAATTCGTAGTATTGTCGAGAATTTGTTCATCATGTTACTCATATCGTTACGCTAATCACATAAGTGCCATAAATACAATAATAGTAATATATAATGTACAATAGACAATGTATACAATATGCGTTTTATACGAAACATAACGTACGTATGTAGACGTGTCTACAAATCGATATTGTCATAGTTAAGTCATTGGCGCGCTTTTGCTACAACGAGGCCCGAATATTCCGACTGATTCGATATCCAGATTTTATTCCGAAAACGTGCAACGTACTCCCCTTTCGTCCCATTTCGCGAGGATTTTTCATATACTCGCACCCTTATTGATAATCTCCCTCCAAGCACAAAGTATTTGGTTATATTACCGTCGTCTTCAATCGTCCTTTTTTATACTGTTCTCGCTAGACAGTTTTTACTCCCCGTCGTTCAAAACGCGATATTCCCGAAATACATTCGTTCGCGTGTCATTAACGACCGAAGACGCAGCAGCTCAAATAATCGTGTATTCCTTAACACATCGATCGCTTAACAGAAAGATCGACCGGCAGTCTACGAGCAGTCTATCGGGTCTACTCTAAAAACTCGATTGGTGTCGTTTACTCGCGGTATATACAGTATATGTACATGTTTATTTGCGTAAAGTATCGTTGCGCTTTCGTGGAAAGCACGGTGTATGAAAATGCTGTCTTTCGACGCGGCTGAGCTTCGTTATCAGAAACTTGTTAGCGAATCGCATAATCGAGAGGGGGGGAAAGCCATGATATCTCCGAGAAACGATACTAGCCGTTATGGTTAGCCAGGAAAAATTCGTGCTACGATTTCACGATAGATTTTATATTCACCGCTATATTATTTAGATATTATTTGGTACCAATTTTGATTACAGTTATTCACGGTCTCTAAAGATGCCTTTCGAAGAGGCGAGGCATCGGCTAATTAGACATTCTCGAACGGGCGTAACAATATCGTATACAAAATTGAAAATCAACCAAACTCTTTTCAGGATACTTTCTAAAAGAGATATCACGCTTTTTTTTCTTTAGAGGCGTTAGGAGCAACGATGTAAAGCTCAATGACATAACTTGATTATCAGTCGAGAAACGATTTATAATCGTTAAAGCCAGACACGAAGGCAATTTGTTTAGTAGTCGGTTACTCCAATCGTTCTCTCTACGGGGTCTCGCTCACTCACCCTGAACGCGAGCGTCCTCGTGATCTAAAGATATGTTATCGAGAAGATATGAATCTGACGAGAAAGGAAGAGATCTCCGTAATACAGTCTATTCGCTACCGAATAAATTTACCAATCGCCGACTCGTGCCGTCCCGTGAGTGTTTCGCTTGATTACAAATAGAAAACGCTCGTTAAATGCATCACCGGCAAGGGGGGGAAACTCGAGACCCGGGCCGATTTCTGCGTGAGATCGTGAACCGTGCGGATCGATGGACGGTCTATCGATGAGAGAGTTCGCGTTCGCTCGTTCCTATCGCCCTTCTCTTTCGATCATAAGTAGCACGTCTTATAGTAAATGAAGGCGACGGTGTCCTTGCCGAAAGTCCGGCACTCCCGCTCGTAGTGCACCTGGCCCGGCTCGTACCTATCGCCTCGCGAGTACTTATCCAATCGCGACAAGTTCCTGCAGAGTCTGAGGTAATCGTCGTCGAAGGCGAGCTCGTTCTCCCGATGATCCCTGCGTCGACGATAATCGTCGAATCTCTCAGTCTCGCCGCGGGAGGACGAGAGATACGTGACGTCGTCGAGTTCTAAATCCGTTAGATCCTGCAGGCTCTTCGGATACGCGCGTCGGCCGCTCTCCAGGGAGTTGAAGCCGCACGCTTGATCCTTGAAGTTGATGGTCCTGCTGCGCCGCGGCAGGGTCGAGTAATACGGCCTCTCGTCTCTGCCATGATTAATGCCGTTTCTCAAGATCGGCTTAGAGACGCTCGGACCTCTCGCTGCCACGTCTCTTCGCCAGCCGTCTTCGTCGTCGTAATCCGCCACGTACTCGCGCCTCCTGGAGCGCCTCGGCTCGGTCTCGTGCGAACGATCGACGTAGCTCGCGTTACCGCGCGAATACGCGCTGTTTGAGCACACCGCGCGTTTCTTGCGATTGTTTCTCGGCGATCGCTCGTAGTCGTGATTCTCGTAACGGTGCGACGGAACTCGGCGACGATGGTTGTCCCGTGTCTCGCTTCGCGGATAGTCGCTCCGGACGACGTCGCCGTTGCTGTTGGGAACGTCGACGCGCGGCGTCTCGTCGAACGAGCGGCGAATCGGCAGCAAGCCGCGGGACTGCATGAAGCTCTCCACGTTCCGGCCGATTCGGTTGGTCTTCTCGGCGAAGATGCCGCAGTAGTCGGACAACTTGCGGTGAGCGGCGCGCGCGGACGGCATCGCGACGCTCGACGTCGTCGCGACCAACGGTGGCACGACCGACGATGGCGGTGCCTCGTTGCTGTACAGATCCCGCGGATCGTGTTCGTTCGGATAAGCACCTCCCGGTAAAGGCTTGTTCGCCTTTTCGAGGTTCGAGAGGCCCCCCGTCAACGAGGCCTTATACTACCGTGCTTGCGCATAATCCGGATTCATCTCGTCCAGCTGTTTGCCCTTCGTCTCAGGGACGCAGCAGACCACGAAGCACAGGCCGCACACCGCCACGGCGGCGTAAAACCAGAAAGCTCCGTGTAGACCGAGAGTCTGAAAGAAAGTAGCGTTTTTGCGTAAGCTTTACGCTATTCTGGCCGCGAATAAGTAGCGATGTCTCGAACGAGACGAATTTCTAAGACATTACGCAGCGTTCGCTCGTCTCGAGCCCGTCTCTATAGATATTCTCACGTTCGAAGTCAAAATGCTTCATCTCCGTACTTTGTAAAAAACGGGAGTGAGACGCTCACCTGCTGGAAGTCCATGAAAAGCTTAATTCCGAAGAAGGCGCAAAAGTAGCTGAAGCTCGTGCTAATGCTGGAGCCGAGACCGCGGTACTCCAGCGGAAACAGTTCGCCAATCAATAGCCAGGAAATTGGCGATATGCCCAGAGCGAGGGCGGTCGTGAACACGAGCACGCAAAGCAGCGGTATCCAGTCGTGCTGACCCACGACCGCCGAATCCACGTAGCCCAGATTTTGCGTTTGCGACACGTAGTACGCGTAGCTGCCGAAACCGGCGAGCGCGAGGGACATGAAGACGGTGCTGGCTATCAGAAGTGGTAACCTTCCCACGATATCGATCAAAAACCCTGCGACGAAATTGGATCTCTCGTTTAAATAGAGCACTCGTGAACGCGGTATTTTCGGTGAGAGAGAAGGAAAGATAAAAAAACTTTAAGTCTATATAATTTTACCATACATGAAAAATAAAAAGAATTAGTTCCCACGAATAAAATTATCTGTTTCTATAATAAAACTGAAGTTTAGTTAATTTAATTAATTGTTTTGTTCTCGTATTTAGTTTTTAGCTCCTAAAAATGAAATCTGGCAACTAAATTTCTCTCTCAGTTGTATTATATAGGCAGTTAATTCCTTTTTTCCGTGTAGATTGCTTGTATAATTCGCGATTCAAGTTTGTAACTGAGTACCTGATAGCAACGCGGCGCACAGTTGTACAAATCCGATCGCTATGGTCGCTCCATGAGGATTCATCCCGCCCAGGGTCTGACGAAAAATGAGAACCGCATAATAATTAAATGCGTTCGCGCCGGAGAATCTCTGGAAGAACATGAGACCGCACGTGATTGCGATGGGTTTGTACAGTCTCGGCGTGAAGACGCTGTTCTTGAAGCTGAGTTCGTACTGCTTGGCCCTCGACGCCAGAATATTCGTTTTGATCACCTAGAAATACACCGCCGATTGTCACAACTTGGAGAAATAATAGTGATTATTCAAACCGCGCGCGATCGTTATACGTCGACCGACTTTTCGACGTCGGGAAGGCCCGGTAACGCGAGATGCGCGAGAACAGCATCGGGAAGCAGTGGTCTCGTTTTCGCGAGTTTTGGAATCACCTGCAGCTCGTGTCGTATATCAACGTGCTCCCCGCGTAGCCACTGCAAACTGCTGGCGGCTTCCTCGTCTTTGCCGTTCAGCACGAGGTACGACGGTGTCTCGGGTATAAAGAGGGTCCCCAAAAAGAGCATCGACGGCGCGACCGCCACTAGCAGCGCGCTTTGCCGCCAATTCAGGTATGTGCCGGCTATGTACGACAACAAGACGCCGACGTGACCCAGCACCTTCAACATCGCCGACAAGCATCCCCGGATGCCCGGCATCGAGATTTCCGATATGTACACCTGACGAAAGAAAATCACTCGTGCGACAAATCAATCGGGCGTCTAAGGCACGTGTTAATAGTTCTCACTTGAAACTTGTCTCAAGTGAGATACTTAGATTTTAATTCAAAGATGTGAGTTTTTTTTTTAACGAATCGCGATTAGATATGACGATATGATACATTAAGGGACATTGAAAAACGCCCTATCCAGAAAAGCGTATTTGATTGGATTGAAATTTGATAAACAGAGAGACAGAAGACTCAAGACTCAAGTGATCTCCCAGTTCACTGGTAAAACAATTGCGGATTCATACAAGATGGCCCAAATTACCCTATGATAGCCGAATAGTATTTTATAATTTTGAACCCAATCGGATAGGTCCTTCCGGGTGGGACATTTTCAATGTCCCTCAATGTATATCATGCGATTTAACTGAAAATCTCAAATTTAATTTCGAGTTCAAATCTGAGTATCTCGCATGAGACAAATTTTAAGTGGTAATTATTAATACAAGCCTAATATCGAATCGATCGTTATTTGGTTAATTAATCTTACCTGTGCCACCATGGTAATGACTGAACAGCAAAGACCACCGATGAAACTGGTGACGTACACCAGCTCGACGCACGGCGCGACTCCTGTTATTACCCAAGCAGCCGCCAAGGGTAAGGATGTCACACGTAGAGCTAATCGCCGACCTCTCCTCATTATCCAGTCGCCGATCATGGCGCCGAACCAGGCGCCCAGCATGGACAGGGAAGCGACCCACGAAGCTTCCTGTTGCGTAACCGAGAAAGCCGACCTGCGACAAATGAAAACGTGATTACGATCGCGCTGGCTGGCGCCATTATCGGCCGACACGACGCGAATCCACCCGACCGGACAGCCTCGATCTATTGGGCATTGTTCGGTGGCGTAGGCAGACGTCAGGTGCAAATGTAATCACTCTTGGCCGCGGCGTCTTGGCTGTCGACTATTATTTGCGAACAGCTTCCGAGTCGAGTTTGCATGCTGTCACATTGCTTGTGTCCCGAAATTAGCCACCAGGAGCGTAACGCGCGGAAAATCCGCGGGGAACACAGACTGAGTTCTGGTCAAGGTGTCCAAGGTTATTTTGTGCAATGAATTCATGTCAATTATCATCAGCATCGGTGTGTCTTTTAATCCCTTGACTGTCGATGACACACATATGTGTCATGAATGAATTTATTAACGTTAAATTATAAAAACACTTTCTGAATCAAATGCCTACATATGTCAGTAGGTTTATATTATTTAACATATTTACTACATAAAAAATTAATAAAATTGTCACAGTTACATTTCATTAACAAATTTTATCGAAATAAAGTGTTTATATTTTAATCATTATTTTCAATGAATTTTGAGAAAGTTATTGCCCGAGCTTAAAAGAGCATAAGCATAAATGTAAATATGAATTAAGAGGTTTAAGTAAAAGAGATAAATAATTTTGTGTTCTTCTATATTTTCATCTTATTATTCGCCATGTTGAATCAGCCCCTTTTGAATCTATCAATTTTAACAGCAGCTTCTTATTCAGCTACCTCGAAAAAAATCCCTTGCACATATATATTCGTCACAATTGACTTATTAGTTAATGCTGGGCACCCACCTGTGCAATTTACGTGCTGACAGCGAAGGGGTTAATTATCGCGTCTCATTAGTAGTCATTTGTACTTTTCGAACGCACGCGCGCGAACATTCTTACCATGTGTCATTGTTGGACGACTGATAAAGATGCGGCCGTTGATTATCCAAGATAGAGTCCAACGCTGGCGACGTGTAGCCCTTGGCCAACCCGGAAGATAGAGTTCCCATAGATAATGCCAGGGTCGCCAGGACCTAGTTGGGTAAACGAGCTCCGATGGGATTAGAAAAATTCCTTCAGGAAAACTCTCTCACGCATGAATTAGCCTTTAATATTTTTCCACGTTGAGCGCCGGAGAATTTATATGATATTATGCAGGAACGCGGTGCATAACGCCGGCGAACGTCAACTTCGTTCATTTACGTCGGCGGCCGGGCGCAATTTATGCGTGTATTCCTTTTACTTCATTCCGCGGGCCCCCGTATCGCTCTATAAAGATCGCGGAGTTACGCCGCGTCGAAAAGACTCGTAACTTCCACAATGATGCGCGATCATTTTGTTTCGGATATTTCTATTCGCGCGAGCGAGCGAGCGAGCGAGCGAGCGCAAATTTCCAATTTCAGAGTTTCACGTTCCCAGCCGCTGGATATTAAAGTTCGCCGGTGTGGAAGTGCGAATGTAAATCTCTCTCTTCTTTATCACCGACTGCCTTTCCTCTTTTTATCGGATCCCCAACGGCGTTTCGCGATTACGTATGATTTTGAGTAACGGAAAAGCGGGGAATATACATTTATATTACCCGTCGTGCGGGCCATGACGCTTCAATAATACACACGTACACCTGGAGCGCGCGTATCGTATACATTCGTACTTGCGCTCCCGCAGGGTGCAACCGACGAACAAATTGCTAGCCGCAAATTGAAAGCTGGGCTTGGTCTCTCGCGAGGAATACTAAACATTTCGCATGGCCCGCGCTTATGTACATACGCGTGTACATGTACAACGGCTATTTCAAAATACCACGGCGGCATGTGCATCGGTGCTACATGTATCCTTCGTGTGACAATGAACGGGCGCAAGTTCCTCGTGTGCATTTCGTGTACACGACCGTAAGTGCGCGTATCTTTTTTTTTCCGGTAAATAGTCGCTGTAATTCCGCAACTATCGGAATCGCCGTGCTTCGCGAAGGAGCTTCCTTTTTCTAATATCGATGTGGAAATGTCGGAACGGGAGAACAATAGCATCTTCCTGCTGGTATAAGTTGGCGAGTTTCTCCGGTCGATCCGTCAAACTTGAGACGTCAAGTCAAGCGATCGTTTCGACATCTCCGTAAGCTTCTTATGTCCCGTACCCCGCGTGTGTCTTACTCGCTCTTCGACTTGTATCCGTCCGTCCCTGCATGCACGCTCAAGATCTCAGATTATACGGCGTGGTGAGTGACGTAAGAAAATCTACCGCGAAATATCCCCGCGCAGTATGCGCGTTTTCTGCAGCGAGTAAACCTCCGAGTGCAGTTCCTCTCTCTCGCGGATACCTCAATCCCCATACTTTTTTTTTTCGTCAGTTTTATTTCGCGCATATCCCGCGTTTTTGCCGCGAAAGCGCATTTTGTCGAGACAAAAAGAAAACTATCTGTCGCCCCGTATTAGCCCCGATTTATCAACCCGAGAAGCCTGTACGATCTGTACTACGAAATAATTCTCCTTCGCAACTAGTTTCTTGATATGTACTTAATTACTCAATCCGTGTTCGTTTAAGTGAATGTTAAACGGCGGAGTATCTTTCATCTCGCCCCGTAAATACGCAACACTGCTCCGCACTGATCCATAAAACCGCATTACTCGTGATACCCGTTATAAGACTTCGCGCGGATACTTCGCGCATTAAACTCTGACCTTTCGTCGATGTGAACGTACAATTTCAATGTACGCGCGTGCAATTAGCGCGAAGGCACCGGTAGTGCGACTTGAACGCAACCCGCCGACCCGTCGTAACTCATATTCGTAGAATCGAAACGACGGCGTGCTCGATAAGGAATTTCACGCGGCGCCGATCCCACATAAATTTGCATGCACTTTCAATTATCTCGCCCGCCATTAGGAGCGCGCGTAAACGGTCGTCTTGTGCGATTAGACGTGTCGTCGTGTGTAACCTTTCTATCGTCGTCGCGAGAGACGCGACGATATCTCTCTTTCGTTCTCAGACAATAATGTGTGGGTCGTTTCGCTGCTGCCGCCGCCGCCGATTTACAATTAGAATTTCTCTCGTCCAGGCGACCGTGCGAAAATTACAACGCAATCCGAGACGCAACTCCCGCGAGCCTTTATCGATTAATTGGCGCGCGGCTATAAAGACTACGCTCGGCTTCATGGAGACAAATTTACGACTGAGCTCCCACTTTCCATTTGATGCTATCGAAATTTGTAATTACAACGTTATATCGAGCTACGAGTCTATTCGGTGAAACGGGAGGACCCGAACCGCCAGTTTTGTAATTTTAAATGAATAATAATAATAATATTCACTTTATTGGTCTCGAACAAACTGATAAGAAAAGTAGCATAATACGAAATTAAGGAAATAAAAGTAAAGAGTGAACCTGTTTGAATAGAGTACCAATAGGCGAGGCAAACAGCTATGTGGCTGACACGACAGCCTTTCCTGTGAGAATTTAATGAGATATAAGTAAAGTAGAGAAGTAACGAGACACATATAATACACATATTACACAGAGAGAAAGGTTTCTTTGGATTTAATATATGTGTTTGGCTTAGGTATGTTTAAGATAAACAACATAATTTAATATCAAATATCATTTTGTTTGAATGAAAATATTGTTTCAATACAGTAAACCATGTTGTTTGATAGGAAAATATTATTATTTGGGGAAAATAATATTTGGTTTCCAATAAAATCAAATTCAATCCGTTATATATTAGATATTGTTTCATTGAAACAAAAAGGTTTCTTAATATTTTTCTAACGTAGCGTTACTTCTTCAAATAATTTATCGCTTGTGACAACCATTGTAGTATTTGGATGAAAATACAAAAGAAATATGTTATTTGACGTAAAGATAATTATCATTTCAGAAACCAAACAATCCTATTTGTTGAATCAAACATTCGTTTGCTTGCTCCGCTCTACAAGACAAATTTGTTTCAAATCAAGAAATTTTATTAAATTCGAAGAAATTTTTTTTCTCTGTGTATATACATATTATCTAATTAGTAAACGATACTGTTACTATTTTACCGACAAAGACGTGGTTAGCTTGATTGTGTCACCGGTCCGTCTATGATTTTCTGGATCATTTCGATTTGAAGCGATGATTATCGAACGGATCTTTCGATTAGCAAAACCGCGTGGAACACATCGGATGCTGTCAGTCTTAATTACTCGTGTAATGCGGCGCGCGAGCAAACAGTAGTAATGGACATAAGTTTACGAGCGCTTGGTTGACGCTTTCTTCGACTAATTATCGGTGCTCGCGATGAATAGCACATTCAGGAAAACGTGGCCACGGTAATGAACGCCGATAAGTTTCCCGTTTGTGTTGGCGGTAGCGCGAAAATTTGGAATATTAATTACGGTTTACGAGATGTATTGCGGTTATACGAGCCGTACCGCGACATTCGGCCGCCACCGGGCGAGCGGTTTCTATCAACGACACAACCGAGGGATCTTAACGAGCCGAAGAAATACACGATCGTGCGACGAGGCGTCTCTCCCTTCGCGAACAGAAAAAATTCGCGCTCCCCCGGGAATCGCTTCTGGAGATATTATTTTTGGGCATTCCTCGCGCCACGTTTCTTCTGCGTTCCCACTTCTCTTTGTCCTTTTCCCCTATCTCTCTTCTCTCTCTCTCTCTCTCTCTCTCTCTCTCTTACACGACGTTAAAAGCTCGTTTGCATCGAGCCGTGCGAATTTCTCGGCAGTTCCGCAAGCAGAGATGTGCATCAGCCGGGTCGAAGTTAGCCGAGGGAGCCATTAGCTTAAAACTATTAGTCAACCATGGGCGAAAGCGAGAGAGATGAAATCCCGAGAAAGAGAAGGCTGAGAGAAAAAGGGGGGGAGAGAGAGAGAGAGAGAGAGAGTCAGTGGGAAGAAAGAGGGAAAACGAGCTTCAAAAGTCGTCCCGCTTATACGATTATGAGGATGGGATCGGCCGATGGTGCTGTGTGTTAAGTGCACACCGAGTATGTGGGTGTACGACGGTCTCTCTTCCCGTTCCGAAAGACCTCCGACGTGCTCGATATCCATTTTAAACCGGACCACTCAATTACGCTCAGTGCTATCTTCGGTGTTTGCATATCAATATGGCCCCTTGCCAAGGAGAAAAGATTCATCGCTCCACCCGCCGGGATTATTTAAGAACTCCGTCCGGATGCGCGACGGCGCGGTACAAATTGCTGGAGGATACGTCGCGCGTACACGCGGAGTAAAAATACTCACGGCCATCATAAATTTACCGACTACGAGCCGCGAGGATTAGGAGCCGCGGCTTCGACAGGTTGTTGGTCGCCATTCTTATATCGCCGGCGTACAAATCTCCGCGATATATTTTCCTCACATAATTCTGCACTCGACGAGCGAGAGACGCCCGTCGAAATTCCCTTTGCCCGAAACGGAAGCGCACGGCCGTTCGCGGATTTATTCGCTCGGCGATACTTCCGACTGCACGTGTGTGTATTATGTACCTGTGACATGTGCTGCGGTCTCGTCGCCGTCGATGTCATGTGTACCACGGAAGCTCTGGGCATCTTAAAATTGTCCTCGCCCTCGTCCGGTATCGTTGTTACCTGCGACATAATGCAAACGACGATTAACGATACCGTCGTCGATACGATACGAGCGTCGGCTGCTAAATCTCCGCTCCGGAGCGTGCAATTATCGCCTTCTTCCTCCCTTTAATCGCGTCGTATACATTTCTCGACAGTTACAATTCCGTCCTTTATTCTACCCTCGTCCTCCGATACCTCGCTGTTGCGAAGGAAGATTCGTTTATTCTCTTTATCTCCCCCCCCCGACAACCAAGTTCCCTTCGTACCGGTGATATTTTTATCGCGAAACTTTCTTTCGGCTGATAATACACTCGCCCACTCTACCTCCCTCTCTTCCAGTCTACTGACCGTAGAATTATTAGCTGCCCTTTCGGGACCGAGAGTGGACCGTCAATCATTTGTATTATCTTAGCGTTGGGCGAGCGAGTCATCTAGGTAGTAAAGCGAGAGCGGCTTAAGAGATGCTGCCTCTGTGAGAGCTGTCATCTAGGTTATCGCGCCGAGCTTGTTGGACCGAATAATGAAAAGACACCGGCGCCTCGGGGGCGCATTAAGTGCGCGAAAGTGCGAGCGATATCGAATCGCGCGCACGCTATATCCGAACGAACGAGGTAATTGTTCGCCTGCGATGCGCCCTGACGAACGATCACGACGGAGCGCGCATGTTGCAGAGATATATCGATCAACTTGGCGAGATGTGCGGGAGTAAACGCGCGATAACCCGGGTTTATGCGTATCGAGCTTTATTACGCTCGTTCGGATTTAACGACCGACCATTATTGTTCGAGGACCTTCGTCAATATGGACGTCGACCTTAATACCGGCGAATTTTCTAGAGCGTTTTCGAAAAGCTCGTCCTGAAATTAAACGAGAGGGATCAGCACTTGCTATTTTCTCTCTCTCTCTCTCTCTCTCGTTGCAAGTTTCTCACTACTTTTTACACAAATCACGGCGACAGATCAACGCCCGCGCGCCGTCGGCAAATTAAATCGCTCTCGCTAAATTTAATTACAATTTCGTAGTAGTCAAATTAAACACGACCTGATCGTAGGCCGCGTGCGGATATATATTATGTGTGCGCGAACGGCGTAGAATAGTGGACGGGGAGTGAGGTAACCTTGAAACGGAAAATCTCGAGCCGGGTGTCACGAAGTCGTTAGGCGATCAAGTCGCCGTGAAATGACTCTATCTAAATCATCGTCGGGCACTCTCCATTAAGAGATCGGATCTGCTTAATCCGGCGTACCCTTTTCATTGTTTATTTATGCACACCTGACGACCGGGATCGAATCCCCCGATAGTTTAGACCGTGACTCTCTGTCACTGGTGCCCCCACGTTCACGGCGTAATATTTAAGACGACGTTAGATACCCGGCAACACTCCGGGTCTTTCCGATATCGCGCAATCGCGTGAATTATACCGACGTTCGTTCATAGCCGCCGTCGTACCGTTCACGCCTTTCGTGATTTACGGCGAACTGGTTTTACCTGACAAAATTTTGCACGCTGCCTCACGAGCGGTCGAAGTTGTTTCCCTGCGCGAGCTGAAAGACACCTACAAGAGGTAACGCGAGTCGAAGAGAATAATAACTCTCAATGCCAATACGATTAAGACCGGCTCGATATCAGATATTTCAGGTACTTATTTCTCGCATGCAAACAAAATTCGTTTACAATGTACGCATACTACGATATATTCTTCGAGAGCTATCGATGAGCCCGCGAGTCACGAATGCATCTTAAATATTCTCCGACGAGCGAGCGGTCGTTTCAACTGTTATCAACTGTGAGGAGATGCGAAGTGATAGCGAAACACATCAGCGAAAATCAATAAGGAGGAATAAGACGAGGGCGAGCAACGCAAATATTTTCTGCTCCGCACGAGTCTTGATTAATCATGCGAATTATCGACCCATCGCAGTTTGAAGGGTTTTTTCTCCTCTTTTCCGTTCTCGTTTGCTCGTTATCGGATCGACCGATTATATTCTGTTTTTCTCCTACAGAAAAAAGAAGAAAAAAGTTTCAATTAAACAAATTTTATTAATCCTTCGGATTTAATAAAATTTGTTTAATTGAAACAAATTTGTCTTTTGGAATAAAGCAAAAAAAACAAACGAGTGTTTGATTCAACAAACAATATTGTTTAGTTTTTCAAACAATAAATATTTTTACGTCAAATAACATGTTTCTTTTGTATTTACATTCAAATATTACAAATATTGCTGTCGCAAGTAATAAATTATTTGAACGAAGTAATACTATATTAGAAAAATATTAAAGATCTCCTTTGTTTTAATGGAACATTTAATATATAATGAAATAAATTTTTTTATTGAAAGCGAAATATTACTTCCTCTAAATAATACTGTTTCTTCTACCAAACAACATGGTTTACTCTAGTGAAACAACATTTTCATTCAAATGATATTTGATATTAAATTATTTATATTACACAAATCCAAGTCAAAGAAACACACATACTATAAATCCAAAGAAACCTTTTTCTCCCTATATGCGTTCTCTCCTTCGCGCCGTCTTTTCTCCCGTTATCCGAACATCGTCGATGTGACGAATAAATTGGCCGATTTTCGAAAATCGACGAAATGACAGATAAGTTTCGCAAAAACTACCTGCAGTGCGCGATTTCTCACGTTACTCTCCCCCTCCTCCTCTTAGACTCGCTCGCGGATTCATTTCCCGAGCGTGCGGCGCTGTGGGCATCCCGGCAAATCGCGTCGCAAAATCAATATCTCGAGATACGCTAGGGAGTACCGTGAAAACGATCGCGCTAGGATAGAGCCCGCGGATAGTTCCAAGTGTGCGTTATAAGTTATATACATCGACCCGCTTCCGCCGTACTGAAGATCCATCACGCGAGAAAGCAGGAGGGAAGGAAAGAGTAATTATTCTTCTCGTATGAAAAATACGCTCGTAAAAGTGGACGGCATGCGAATCGCGATCATGCAGCGAAACGAAACGCGAAACTCCCTTTTTACCCCCCCCCCCCCCCTTTTTTTTGTACAAATAACAGTTTCATATAACGATAATACCAGTTACATTCGTACTGCATTTTCGTTCGTTGTTACGTAATTTCGAGACGATAATACAATATATTCCATGGGGATATTGGAATATTGATAAAAATGGGCACCGAGTCGCGAACATCCGCTCTGCAATTTATCTTTCTAAAGTGGAGCGGCACGAAAACGTCGTTAAAATGCTTCGTACTGAAAATTCCGCTTTGACCGCTCTTTTTCTTTGTAAATGCAGGGCCGAAGATAACAAGACTGAAACGACCCTTTTTGCGTCGCAACTGTGCGGCTAATTGAACGGGCGAGCGGTAAAAGCGGCCAGCGAAAACGCCGGCTGGCGCGCGTCTGAATTTATAATTTAACGCGTTGCATTTAGCTCCGCTGAGGAAATTGTGTTCGATATTGATTAATTGGAGTCGCGTTTGTACGGCGAGAAGGCGGAAATCCGCCGTCGGTGGTAATCCGGAAATTAATAAGTCCGTGCGCGCAAACTCGGAGCCTAGAGCCGCGCTCGCAATCGCGAGCAAAGCCGAGGGCTGGAAGAATCGCGGATCCTGCGGATAGTATACGCTTAATAATAATTTCGTGCCGAGATTTAATAAGAGATGCCCCGCGCGCTCTCTCGCCACGAAGAATGGCTGTGCCGCGAGCTAAAGGGGTTGGCCGCCGTTTCGAAATCGTTCCATCGCACGTTCGAGTACCGAGGGAAACGTAACTTAATTACTGATTTTTGCGATAAGACGAGAAGCTTCGTGCCGACCGGGGGGAAGGAGGGGGGAGGGGGGACGAGCGAGAGGGCGGGAAGGAGAAATAAATGGGGGAGGCCCCAGCGTACAGCGATCTTCACGAGAGGAAATGCACACAGAATCGGGCTATAACCGCGCTATTAGAATTTTATCACTGCGCCGGGAACGAGGAGTAAAATAATAACGCGATACACGCGGGCTTAACTGCAAAGTACGGCGAAAGATACACCGAAGCTGTAAGGGAACGAGGAGCGGATTTTTTCTCATCTCCCCCCTCCCCCCTCCCATGTTTGTAAGATCGCTTTTATACTAGAGTCGCGGCGTCTTATCAGCGTAACGTAATTAATTACTCACTTGGGGATTTAATTATTTTAAGCTCGGTCCCACGATGGGGCCGTTCGATGTTAAACGGGAGATAATTGCAGCGTCCGCGATTCTCAGCGTTTTGCGCGCCCTGCGGATCCCGTGTAAGCGGTAGCGAACGACCGTGTACAGCGTATGGTTCGCAATACAAACAGCAGATAGAGACATGATTAAACCGCACTCGACGTACACGTGAACGAAGTACGTGTCACACGAGTACGTGCGGGTACGCGCGATGTGAAAAGAAAGGAAAGAGAAGGAAGATCCATCGCGCGCCGTTCCGCTCTATACCGGCGTGTTTCTCGTCCCGCTCGTGCATCTTTTCCGAACTATAAACGCATTGTCAGTATTTATTACACCTGCGACTCAGTCCCCTTGGTATATCGTACGTGGAAATTCAATTCTCCCGCGACACAATCTCCGTTCGGGAAAAACCGTCGGGATAAGAAGCAGAGAGAAAACTTGAACTGCGACTTTGACGTCCGATGTGGTGTGACGAGCGTCGAGTGAGGTCGCGTTGAGGTCGCGTTCGGGAAATGGCACGTAGTGTACGGCGGCTTTAAATTTCGCCAGCGCCTTTTTACCCGGGCGTTCCTCAGCTCTCGCGAGGGGAATGCTCCACAAACGGATTTCATTAGCACGAGCGTTCCGCCTTGTGGTACGAAAACACAAGACGGGGAAATGAACACCGGAGGTATCTATCTATCGTTAGCCCGAAACTCGTTGCCGCTCACCTACATACCCGCTGAAATAAAATGCGCGTAAAACACTCGGCGGAATTTTGCCAAACGGGAGGGAACTCTTTCATCCGCCGCGACGCCGAGAAAACCGTCTCAAGGAAACGTGGCTCTTAAACGCACTTAATATCTCGACACTC